GTGTCTGTGTGTCTGTGTGTGTGTGTGTCTGTGTGTGTGTGTGTGTCTGTGTGTGTGTGTCTGTGTGTGTCTGTGTGTGTGTGTGTGTCTGTGTGTGTGTGTGTCTGTCTGTCTGTCTGTCTGTCTGTGTGTGTGTGTGTGTGTGTGTCTGTCTGTCTGTCTACTAAGCCTGATGAAACGAAGTGCTGTACCACTGAGTCTATAGTCACAGGTGGCTTTTTCTTTTAACACAAAATTACCGTGGGTGGGCTCAAACTCACTACATGACCCAGGCTGGCTCTGATCTTTCACACCTACTGCCTTACCCTCCTGAGTGCTGAGATTTCAAGCCAGTGCTATCAGCTTGATCAGCTGCCTTCTTTCTTCTTTTGGTCTTTTGAGATAGGGTCTTACTATGTAGTCCTGGAAGACCTGGAACTCCCTGTTTAGACAAGGCTGACCTCAAACTCACAGAGATACATCTGCCTCTATCACCTAAGTGCTGAGATTAAAGATATGCACCACATTGGGGCTGGAGAGATGCCTCAGTGGTTAAGAACACTGATTGTTCTTGCAGAAGACCCGGGTTTGAATCCCAACACCCACATGGCAGCTAACAACTGTCCGTAACTCCATTCCCAGGGGATCCGACAGCCTCTTCTGACCTCTGAGGGCATTGCACGACACGGGTGCACTTATCTACATGCAGGCAATACACGCATATACATAAAATAAAAATAATAAAAAATTTTTTAAAAAAGATATGAACCACCACATCTGGCCAGCTGATTCTTAATCACCATGTCAATCTGCTTCAAACAGGGTCAAGCCCCAGTATCTTGTGCCAGGAAAGTTTCTCCTGGCCAGCTGTCCCTGAGGTTGGGGACAAACAGGCTGGCTTTATAGAGTCACTGGGCTCTGTCTTAATGTAATTAAACTGTGTCCACAAAACAAAACACCCAGTACTGTGAGGTGCGCACACACACACACAGTAGAGGGTTTTTTACATTTATTAAAATGTGTGTACACCACACATGAATGCAGTGATGAGAGGACAACTTGCAGGAGTAGGTCTCTCCGTTCACCGTGTGAGTCCTGGAGATTGAGTTCTCAGGTCCTCAGGCTTGGCAGCAAATGTCTTTACCCACTGAGCCACCTTGTTGACACCATGTGGTCTTTCTATCACAGACAAGGTCCCAGAATCACTGGAGAGGCAGGCACATCTGGGGACATCCCTGCTCAGGCAGCCTGCACCTAGGCTGGACATGGAGCTCCTGGCATCGAGGGAGGCCAGATGGGGAGTGAGCAGGGAAGAAGAGGGGGCCAGGGTGTTGGGACTCAGATGAATTGCAGCCCCCCAGCCCAGCTTTTACAGCACACGTGAGAAGCACCTGCCTGCTCCTCTGTCTCATCTAACCGGAGGCTCCCAAGCTACTCACTATTCCCTCCCACCTGATTCAGGAGCACCCAGGATGCACCAGGGCAGCAAAGTCCTACTTTGGGCAGGTCCTACACCAGGGCAGCCAAGTACCTACTTCTTTGACAGGTGGCTGCCAGAATCTGCTCGATGGCTGATTACCAGAGGCCAGCCAGAGAGAGCACTTCAGGAACTCCAGAAAGTAGCCAGAATAAATGGCCACAAGGAAGCCAAAAAGACGCTGACCATAGAGGTGAGAGGCTGCTGTTTGCAGTTCAGGAAAACACATCTATGGAGGTGTTATCTGTATGACCTCCTGTGTCCCCACAGCCCACTGCACCCCCCCATCAGCTCCACCAAGAATATCACCACAAACCTCCAACATCCAGTGCTGTATGTGGCACCACCATCACCACACAAACACCACCAGTAAAGGCAGAGCCATCATCAACACCCGCAGCAGCAGCCCTAGAGCCTCCGCACTCCAGAACTGTCTTCACTGCTTTCTTCTCTACTCGTACCACCACTGTGGGTTTCCTCTCCATCACAACCAACACCACCATTAACATCACCAGAAGCATCTCTAGAAAATACCATCACTTCCATTATCTTTATCACCATCACCACCACCATCCCTACCATTACAATCATCCTCATCCCCACCATGATCCCCATCATCTCCATTTCCACCATCATCCCTATTCCCATCATCATCCCCATCCCTACCACCACCATCATCACTATAATCCCCATCATCCCCACCATCATCACCATGATCCCCATCACCCCACATCACCACTTCCATTGCCATCCCCACCATCATCACCATCCCCATCGTTACCCTCATCTCCATCATTACCATCATCTCCATCATCCCCACATCATCATCCCTCCACCATCTCCATCATCACCATGCCCCCATCATCATCATCCCCACCATCATCACCATCCCCATCATCATCACCATCCCCCCATCATCATCATCCCCATCATCATCACCATCCCCCATCATCATCATCATCCTCATCATCATCACCATCCCCCATCATCATCACCATCCCCCATCATCATCATCATCCCCATCCCCATCCCCATCCCCATCATCATCCCCATCATCATCACTATCCATCATCACCATCACCATCATTACCTTCATCTTCATCATTATCATCATCTCCATCATCCCTACATCATCTTTATCCCCCATCATCCCCATCCCCACATCCCCATCATCTCCATCCCCATCATCCCCACCATCATCTCCATCCCCACCAACACCATCATCATCAACCTCACCATAACTACCAATAATAACAATATCGCTATTATCACCATCTTACCTAAGACTTTAACCTATGTCGTGCATACCTATTTCTCGGGACTTCTTGGTGTATCTGGGGAAACGAGGCTGTTAAGAACACAGGTGGAGGATGTGTACAGAGGACATGGAACTCCTTGAGTATGGAGTTCTAGTCTAGGGGAAGCTTCCAGGAGCAGGACAGCTAGTTAATGCAGGCTAGCAGGGCCTAGAGGTGCGGGAGGACTGAATGAGCCCTCAGAAAGTCTCAAGGGACCAGTTTGGCAAAGTGGACATTGCCTGATGCCAGCCATCAGGGCCGAAGAGGACAGTTGGGGCTTTTGAGTGGTGCCTGCCAAGCAGCACATGGGTATTTTTCCACTCTGGCTGGGCAGGCCAGGTCTGCAGGAGAGGCAGGTGCCAGAGAGAAACTCTGCTGCCTGTATCACTCCCAGGCCTGGGCATCAGTGTTCAGAGTCCTAGGCCAGGCTGGCCTCTGGCTGTATCCACTTAGGCACAGAGACAAGTGGGACCATCACTCTTAACACTCACTTTCCTTCCTCTCTGAGGCGTTAATGTCCAGCATGGAGGAAGATGTGACCACTGAGACTCATGGGTCAGTGCTGGACCTGTTCCGTGTGCCTGTTCTCTGCCGGAGGATCTGCGCCATGCTGGTGGTGAGGTGCGCTGTCCTGGAGACACAGCTGGGGTGAGAAGGTGATATCCAGGGAGTCCAACAGCCTCAAGCATCAAACAGGGTTAGAGAGAGAGCAAAGCAAGCCAGTCTGGGCATGGTGTGTGCTGGCAGCTGGCTACAGAGGCACAGCTGGAATAGCGGTCACTTGGCAGGGGACCAGAGCCGGGCTGATGCCAAGGGCTAGACCATGGCTGAAGAGAACACTGCCTGTCAGCTTCAGCGACTCATCCTCCCAGCAGGGCCCCTGAGAGCGACAGGCCCCAGGCGTCCCCTTACTTCTTCCCACCTCCCACTTCACAGATGTGAATGTGGAGCTCAGATGAGCAGCTGGCCCCAGGAGTGAGGAGCTGCATTTGAACCCTGGCCAGCTACTTCCTAGTCCCTGGGCTTTGTTACCCACCGTGCCTCACACAGGAATTTAAGGGCACCAGGGATCAGCAGAAGTTCCTTGTAAACTAATTTAGTTAGTGAGACATTCAAAATAGCATCTTAAGATCAGCCCTAGATGGTGGCGCACACCTTTGATCCCAGCAGAGGCAGAGGCAAGGTGGGTATCTATGAGTTCAAGGCCAGCCTGGTCTATGTTAGCAAGTTCCAGGCCCGTCAGGACTACGCAGTGAGACTGTCTAAAAAAATAAATAAATAAGAAGGAAAATCAGGTTTGATTGGAACTTTATCACAAATAAAACTAAAGTTAGGGTGGGAATGTAGCTCATTGGGCGAGGTACCTACCTACCACACTGGAAGCCCTGACTTTGAGCTCTGAGCACTGCATAAAACTGGGTGAGGTAGGTCAGCCTGGATTCCAAGAGACCTTGTCTTGGAACAAAAAAGAAAGAAAGAAAGAAAGAAAGAAAGAAAGAAAGAAAGAAAGAAAGAAAGAAAGAAAGAAAGAAAGGAAAAGAAAGTAACGATGAGGAAAATGTCATTTTATGCTTACGACAGTAGATACCACCATCTCCGAACAAAAACAGATCAAACACTTTTTTGAATCTTTTATTTTTAGCTTTTTTTCTTGATAAATTAAGAGGAAGCCGACATCCAGACCCCTCTTCTTCCCTCCTCCCCAAATAAAACCCTCAAGGCTTCCGGGCTCCCCCAGGGGCCACAGAGCAACTTTTGTTATTCAAATCGGAGACTTTGAAGCACTAACCCTGGTGGGTTTAGGGAGCTGTTTGCATGGAAGGCTCCAGAATCTAGCCCTGCTCCTCACTCATCACATACAGGGAGGCGCTTTGCCTCTGCAGCACCTGCCCCAGTTGTCTACAGGGCAAAGCCATCAGGGGCCCTGACAGAAGGGCTGATGAGCTGCTGGGATGAGGACAGATTTCTTTTTTTTTTTTTTTTTTTTTTTTTTGTCTTTTTGAGACAGGGTCTCCCTGTAGCCCCAACTGTCCTCAAACTCACTAGGTAGACCAGGCTGGCCTTGAACTCACAAAGATCCGCCTGCCTCTGCCTCCCAAGTGCTGGGATTAAAGGCATGTGCTACCACCCCCGCCAAGGACAGATTTTTTTAAGTAATGAGAAATAATTTCGCCTCAGCCACTGGTCAGTTCAACCACTGTGGAGCTGGAGGGTGTGGCTGCCCCACCCAGTTCCCAGCTGAGGAGCATTGCTCCCAGGTGTTGGGACATAAGGCTCTCTGTCCTGAGGGAACCCCGCCCACCAGGCAACAGAGTTCAGGGTACACCTCTACTGTCACTCTAATCTGTCCTTCAAAATTTACAAGGATCCAGCACCCAGAGAGATGCCCAGTGTGACTTGCTTCCAGAAAGCAAGTTAGAGGGGAAAGGGGAGCCAGACAGTCCCCAAGGGTGCTGGTCCCTAGAGGGTGCCCAGCAACCATGGAAGACAACTGGGGACACTCATCCCACAGAACACATGGGGAACACATGAGGTTGTCACCCCTGCCCTGACCTTCCCTGGGACAAGCCTGTCTCCTGGAGAGGTGTCCTACATTCAACAGGCCACTCGGGTCCAGATCACAGGCTGGCTCTGACAGGCAGTGGCCTCCGGGGAGGCCATGTGAGGTGGCACTGCAGGCTCGGCCCCTCCTCAGCAGCATGCACCTGACTCCGCCCGTGCCCACAGCTGCTTCCTGATGCTGTCCTTCTACGGCCTGGTCCTAGACCTGCAGAGACTGGGCAGGGACATCTTCCTCCTGCAGACCCTCTTCGGAGCTGTGGACTTCCTGGGCCGAGCCACCACCATCCTTCTACTCAGGTTCCTGGGCCGCCGCATGACCCTGGGTGGCTCCCTGGCCCTGGCAGGGTTCTGTATCCTGGCCAATGGTCTGGTGCCACAAGGTAAGCCAGGAAGCTGAGCAAGGCGGCCAAGCTGGCGTCCTGCCATCCAGGCATACCACATCCTTCCATTCCACCCCTTCCTTCTCCGATACAGCCACAGCCACGGAGCCTCAGCTCTACCTGGTCTGTGACCCTCTCAGCTTTGCCACTGGGCTCAGGAATCCACTGTCCCCAACCAGACCCCTGACCTTTCCTGAGCAGGAAACACGTTCAGAGAGGTGAAGCAGTAGCCCAAGTCACTCAGTGAGGGACACAGCCAGGACTTTAGACCTGAGGGGCGGGGAGAGACTGGAAGACTGAATAAACTGAGTCAGAAGAGCAGCAAGCAGAGGGTGTGTAGGTGTGTGTGTGTGTGTGTGTGTCTGTGAGTGTATGTCACATGTGTGCAAGTGCCCACAGAAGAGGATGTTAGATCCCCTGGAGCTGGAGTTACAGGCAGTGGTGAACATCCTAACAGGAATACTAGGAACCAAACCCAGGTCCTCTGCAAGAGCAGCAAGATTTCCTAACCACTGAACCATCTCGCCAGCCCCTTCTCTTTGTTCTTTAAAACAGCAGACCAGTGGTGTGCAGAGAGCTGGGGAGACTCCAAGATCCCCATGTTAGTTCTTTTATTTATTATTTTGTGTGTATGAGTGTATTGCCTGCATGTATGTAAGTGCACTCCTATCGTGCAGTGCCCAAGGAGGTCAGAGGGTGTCGGATTCCCCTGGAACTGGAGTTACAGATGGTTGTTAGCCACCATGTGAGTTCTGGGAATTGAACCTGGGTCCTCTGCAAGAGCAGTCAGTGCTCCTTTTTTAAAAAATTTTATTTATTTATTTATTTTTAACAGAGCATAGGGTAGTGGTTTACTTACAGAAGAGTGGACACCCCACATTTACGGCTGTGCCGTAAAGTCCACACTCAAATAAAGATCCTGTGACCTCCTGACAGCTGCACAAAATGGTGAGAAAGGTGCCTCTTGTGTTCTCAGCTTATATATCCTTTGCCCCTCCCCCCACATGCAGCTAAGGCTGACTGATTGGGTGGGAGGGGTAACTGACTCCCCCCTGGACTCCTTGATGATTGTGGGAAGGAGGTGTGACTATAGCTTGCCCACATAGTGGTCAGAGGTCATTTCCAGTTAACACTCCACCCCTTCCTCCAGCTCTGACATTTTTTCCACCAACCTCTTCTGCAAAAGTCCCTGAGCCTTGGAGGGGGTGGTAGGTGTGGGATGATCTTCTTCCCATTGTGGCAAGGCACTGAACTTTCGGATCTCTGAATCTGTTTTCCACGGGCTGTTGGCCAGTTTGAGTGGGATTCCATGTACACCATGTGGAGGCCAGATCCAGGCACTCTCAGGCAGTCTGATGGGTTCTCAATGTCTAAGCCAGACAGAGCCAGTTATTGCTCTTAACTAGTAGCCCCACCCCATGTTCTTTTTAAAAAAAAATTTTAACTTTTGTATATTTCATATAGAACATCTTAATCATCTTTATATCCCTTCCCCATTGGCCCCCTCCCATAGACTCCCCACTGAAATTCATACATTCTTTCACTTGTGTTAAGGCCTATCAGGTCAAGTTACTGTCCCTAGATGTCCCTAGGTGCAAGTTCATCCACTGAGGCCTAGTCGACATATCTAGAGTCCCTCCCTTTAAGATCAGCTCTTGATCACCCAGCAGTAACTCTTTAGCTGCCAATAACTCTTTAGCGAAGACTGGGGCCTCCTGCCCATTTCCACAGTTCCATGCTGGGTTTTGTCTGCTTGAGTTTGCATGGGTCTTGTGCATGCTGACACCATTGCTGTAGGTTCCTATGGGAAGGGTTCTAGGAGCCTGTAGGACTAGTTCCATATGGTCATGCACCTCCTCCCTGGCTCTTACAGTCTTTCTACCTCAGCCGCAGTGGTATCCCTGAATGCTGTGTGGGTGGACTTTAGTATGGGAGTCCTGTCCAAGGACCCACACTCTGCAGACTCTTATTCTCTGTGTTTTGGCCATTTGTGACCTTTTGTGTCCTGGCCCTCTGTTGCATGAGGGAGCTTCACTGATGAGAATTGGAAGATGCATTAGTGTTCTCTTCATGCCTTGTTCTATGATCTGTGAGCCTTGGGTGAAGAGGTTGCACCCTAGATGTGCCACTTCGGCTTGGGAATTCACAGACAATCTCTGTGTGTGACCAGTTGTGGAACTCTGTAATATCTCTGTCTGTTGAAAAAGAAGCCACTTTGGTGGGTGGTGACTGGGATACCTGTCTGCAAATTTAAGAATCCATATTTTGCACATAGTAATAAATTAGTTGTCTAGGGATGTGACAGCCTTGGGATTTTCTCTAAGATCTATGACCTCTCCAGCTACATGTATTTGGCTATGTTTACAGTACCAGACATGAGTTTCCTCCCATTGCGTGGGCTTTAAGACCAATTAGGTAGCTATTGATAAAAAGATAAAAGTGACACTACTGCACCAATGTCCTTTGCTGTGCTGGTCATTGGTGTGGTTTTTAGGCCTTGAATCTAGGATTGGACCATTGATTGATGTTCTCCCTTAGCAGCTTGTGTAGTGCTCTCAAAAGCTATGAGAGCTGCCTTCAGGAGAGGAGGCTTCCAGGTCAGTTCCAGCCCCATTGCTCCAAATCCTGTGCCAAAGTATGTCCTGTCTTCAACAATAGGGTCTTACCATCAAGCTCTGAGAGGCCATCAAGGGCTGTGGACTAGCCTGTGTCATTTTGGGAGTCTCTTGCACTACCCTGGCCAACAATTCAAAGGAAGGTTTCTCCCGTCTGGCACAGTTTCTTGTTATATAACCTTCAGCTGTGCTCATGGACTCATGTAGAGATATTGTATGTGTAATTTTTCAGTAGTTTTTGAACGAATGCAATTCCCTCTGGTTTGTTATACTAGCTAGGCATTACTTATCTTTCCTCTCTCTCCCTGTTTAACCCTCCCTCTATGCCCTCCCCATTTAAAGTATCTCCATTTTGCCCATTTCTCCCTTACTAATTCCTGTCTGCTGTGGTCCACCTCTCTTGAGCTCCTTCTTCCCCTTTATTCCCATAGTTTCTTGTACAGCCCTCCCTCTCCTCCTCTCATTTAACTACCCCCATTTTACACATTTATCCCTATTCTTCTCTCTCGGGTTCCTTCTTTCCCTTTACCTTCCTGGTTCCCTTCCAATTTCCTGGTTCCTGCAGTTACATCAGGATATATACTCACATATAAGGATTTGGTATAGGATCCACATATGAGGGAGAACATATGTTGTTGGTTTTTCTGAGTCTGTGTTACTTTACTTAATATAACAGTTTCTAGATCCATCCATTTACCTGAAAATTTCATGATTTCATCTTTCTTTACCGCTGAGTAGAATTCCATTGTATAATGTACCACATTTTCATTATCCCCATGTCAGTTGAGGGACACTTAGGTTGCTTCCATCTCTTAGCACCACCTCAGAGGCTGGATCCAGGCACTCTCAGGCAGTCTGCTAAGGTCTCCCCCATGTTAGTTCTTAATGAAGCTAAGATGCTTGAAACCCTCCCCAAGTCCCTTTTGGGGCTCAGCAGAAGACAGGGGCAGGGCACGGGGACCTGTGTCCCGAGCTGGCAGAATAGCCAAGAGGAAGATGGGATAGCCCCAGCTAGCATCCAGCAAGGTCTAAATGAGGTGGAGAGTGAACTGTGCTCCACCAGGGTCATGGTAGACCCCCAAAAGATGGACCAGCAGTACACAGAACACCAAGAAAGTTTTCAAAGGCAACGTCTTTCTGTGAGACCTGTACTTGACAGTTTATAAGACTTTTTCTAATGTGTGTGTGTGTGTGTGTGTGTGTGTGTGCGTGCACGCACACACATACACATGTGTAAGGGTGGAGGTCAAATGTCAAATCAAGTGTTAGCCTCAGAAATGCCACCCACACCTCTTGGGACAAGGCCTCTCACTGGCCTGGACTTCAGAGATTAGGCTAGGCTGGCTGGCCAGTGAGCCCCAGGGATCTGCCTGTCTCTGCCCCAGCAAAGAGATCACCACTCACCATACTAAGTTTTTAACATGGATCCTGGGAACCAGCTCTAATCCTTATGATTTCAAGATAAGCACTTTACCAACTGAACCACCTCCCCAGCCTCTCTATAAGACTTTTACTTACTTACTTACTTTTTATTTATTTATTTATTTATTTTTGGTGCTGGGATGGAATCCAGGGTTTCATACCTACTAGGCAAGTACTGTGCCATGGAGGCACACCCCAGCGTTCTAAGACAGCTTAAGAAAGTGTGACTGGGGAGCTGCCCCAGGCTCAGCCACTCCAACTCACCTCCTTTCTGCTCATCTGACACTGTGCACACCCCCCACACACACACCTGGCACTGCATAACCTGACACAGTACCAGCCCTGCTGATGCCTGGTGTGGGAGGGGGGCAACTCGGCCCCTCTGCACCATGGCCTTCACTGCCACCTGTTCCACCCGCAGACCTGCAGACCCTGCGTGTGGCCCTGGCTGTCCTGGGACAAGGTTGTTTGGGGATCAGCCTGACCTGTACAACTGTGTACAAGACGGAGCTCTTCCCCACGCCGATGAGGTAGATGCTGCCTTGGGTCTCCGGTGCATTCGTGTGGTCAGAGAGGGACACCCCCAGAGGTCCAGTGGAGAGGGCTGGCAGGACCTCCCAGAGCCTCCAGGGTAACCAGATTTGGGTTTTAGGTTTGTCTAGAATTGTTTGAGACAGAATCTCACTATGTAGGCCAGGCTGGCCTTAAACTCACAGCAATCCTCCTGACTCAGCCTCCTGAGTCACACACACACACCACGCACAGACTTTCAGTTTAGAATTCGAACTCCTTTCTGTCCCAGTGAAATCCTTAAATAATCCTGATAAAGGAAGCCAGGCCTGGCCCTGGTGACAGGGGAACCCCATTCATTTTCCTCAGCCCCTTCCTTGCCTGAGCCTGGAGTCACCGCCTCAGAGTCCAAGAGTCCCATAAAGAGGGCCACTGGGCCAGAATCTGTACCACCCCCATAATTGACAGTTAGGTAAACTGAGGTTCAAGGGGATGGACTGACAGCAGAGGGGCACCTGAGCCCGAGTTAGCTTCCAGACTTGCCCCCAGCTTCCTTTCTCTGTTCCTGGTGCTCGAGCTCTCGTTTCTCCATTCTCCACTAACTTTTTTGAACAGTGTTTGTCAGTTCTGCCTGTTATATGGAGACCCAGAGCTGGGAGATGGGGATGGGAGCCTCATAGCATCATTGAGGTCCAACCCAGTTACCCAGACAAACAGAGGGTGCTACGATGGGCCCTAGAAAGTTGTCTTAAAGGGCCACAGAGAAGATCAAGATGGGTTCCATGGGGGAGGTGGTGTTCATGGAGGCCCAAGATAGGAACTCCTCCACCCACCTGTCTCTCGCCTGCATCCCTGGGTCCAGCCAATGTGTCCTACCACAATGGCAGCTGTGACTGAGACAGAGCTCCTCCCATAGGATGACAGTCGATGGCTTCCTAAGCTCCATGGGCCGCCTGGGGGCTATGATGGGCCCGCTGATCAGGATGGCCCAGCAGGCTGTGCCCCTGCTGCCGCAACTCACCTACGGAGCTGTCGCCATTGTCTCCAGCCTGGTCTTGCTCTTCCTCCCAGAGACCCAGGGACTTCCGCTCCCTGACACCATCCAGGACTTAGAGAGTAGGTGAGTGGCCTGGGCCTGGGGCTGGGCACCCTCTCGGGCAGGATGGAGATGGGCCAGGCTTCAGGGACAGAGGCCAGGAGCTATAACCAAGACTTGTGCTCCCTACAGCCAAGGGACAGTGACCATCCCCATCCACCAAAAAGAGCTGTGACTGTTTCTATCTGCAAGGGAGAGGTGGTGACTGCTCCTATTTACTGGGGGAGAGGGGGATAGAGGGCGTGACTGCGTGACTAAGGCTCAGAGAGACAACACTGCTGGTCCAACGTCTCCCCAGGTAGAAGATGATTGTATTTTAGGCAGGAAAAATAGACTGAATGCCCACCTGCGCGGGCAAGTTTACATTACCTCCCTTGCAAAACTGACACAGGAAGATGGTCTCCACAGTCCTGGCTTCACAGTCCCACAAATTCCAAGCTCAGGTGGCAGAAGAGTTGGCAGGACCCAAGGATCCATTCTGACACTGTGCCCATGAGGGGACATTCCCAGCTTCATTTCCTCTTCCTCGGGTGCAAAATGGGAGTTAAAGGAAAAACAAAATCAGGGCCAGGGAGATGGCTTAGTGGGTAAAGTGCTTGCCTGGCAAGCATGAGGACCTGAGTTCAGTCCCCAGAACCTGTGTAAAAACAAAACAACAGGGCTGGAGAGATGACTCAGCAGTTAAGAGCACTGGCTGCTCTTGCAGAGGACCTGGGTTTGATTCCCGGTACCTGCATGGCAGCTAACAACTATTCTAACTCCAGTTCCAGGGAATCTGATGACCTCTTCTGCCCTCCACAGGCATTGCATGACACAGGTGCACTTACATACATGCAGGCAATACACTCATACACATAAAATAACAATGATAAATAAAATATTTTTTAAAATAAACAACAAAAAAGCAGGGATACTGTAATCCCAGCGCTGGGGCGGTAGAAGTAGGCCTACCTAGCCTACTTGGCAAACTCCATGCCAGTGAGAGACCCTGTCTCAAAAAACAAGTTGGAGGCACTAGAGAGATGGCTCGGCAGCTAAGAGCACTGGCTGCTTTTGCAGAAGACCAGGGTTCAGTTCCCAGCACACACATGACACCTAATAACCATCTGTAACTCCAATTCCAGGTGATCCAACTCCTTCTTTTGACCTTTACAGGCATTGCATGACATGGGTGCACTTACATGCATGCGTACAATACACTCATACACGTAAAAAGTAAAATAATAATTTTAAAGCAAGGTGGGGAACTAGAGAAATGGCTCAGTGGTTAAGAGCACTGGTTGCTCTTGCAGAGGACTCAGGTTTGATTCCCAGCACCCATATGGTGGCTAGCAACCATCTAACTACATTGTAATTACAATTCCAGAGGATGTAACTCCCATTTCTGGCCTCTGTGAGCATTGTACACATGTAGTGCACTTACATACATGCAGACAAAACACTCATACACCTAAAATAAAAAAATAAAAATCTGTAGCTGGGCATAGCGGTGCACACCTCTAATCCCAGCATTCAGGAGACAGAGGCAAGCAGAGCTCTGTGAGATGGAAGCCAGCCTGGTATATATGGTAGGTTCCAGGCCAGCAACATCTACAGGGAGACCCTGTCTCAAAATAATAATAATAATAATAATGATAATAATAATAATGAAATTTTAAAAAGATGGACTGGACTGTGCTTAAGGAATGACACCCAGAATTCATTTCTGGCCTCCACATACATGAACCACAGATTTGCACGCACAGATACACACAAAAAACAGCCAGCCTCATCCAGAGTCATTTCAGGCTTAAATGAATGATTCTAGGGACCTGTGTCTGGCTCACCGCAGGTGACCTTCCCTGTGGCTGCTGTGTCCTTGGTGACTGTTCTCGTGGGGACTTCTCCAACTAGGAAGGATCCAAGGTCACAGCTACAGTGATAGAAGTTGGCGCTTTGGTACTAGGTTCTTTTTTTTTTTCCTTCAGTGGTGGGATTGGAACCCAGGATCTGATCTCATACACGCTAGGCAAACACATTACCACTGAGCTACTTCTCCAACACACTTACTGTCTTAATATAGCAGCCCATCAAAGCAATACAGCAACCCTGGTAGGTGACCTCATTGTCTAATTTCACTGTCAAAGGATCTGCGGTTCAGAAATGCTGTCGTTTTCCTGGGCACCTCGGCTGAGGAGCCGGGATTTAAGTTACTCTTTTTGTTGTTGTTGTTGTTTTGGGGCTTTTTGTTTGTTTTATTTTGTGACTGGGTATCACTATGAAGCCCTGGCTGGCTCAGAACTCACTATGTGGACCAGGCTGGCCTTGAACTCACAGAGATCTGCCTGCCTCTGCTTTCACGAGGCGTGTGGGCGCCACACTTGGTCGTCTTTTTGTTTTTTAAAATATTTATTTTTTATGTGTATGCGTGTATTGCCTGCATGCAGGTAAGTGCACCCATGTTGTGAAATGCCCACGGAGGTCAGAAGAGGGTGTCAGATTCCCCTGGAACTGGAGTCACAGATGGTTAGCTGCCATGTGGGTGCCGGGAACTGTACCCAGGTCCTCTGCAAGAGCTGCCAGTGCCCTTAACCACTGAGCCATCTCTCCAGCCCTTGTTTTTGTTTTTTGAGACAGGGTCTCACTATGTAGCTTGACTTGCCTAGAACCCAGCATTCCTCTTGGCCTCAGCCACCCAAGTGCTGGAATCACAGGCTTGCCCCGCCTTGCTTGGCCCCACTTATTCCTTCATTTAATCCACCTTTGTCATGTACCTATTGTGTTTCACGTGGAGTCCTGGGTTTGGGGTTTATAAGGTAGAGTGAGACCCTGATGATGTACAGTCTACACTCCCATCAGACCTGATGCCCAGAGCCACCCTCTAGGCATCAACCACTTCTCCAAGCATCTCTCTCTCTCTCTCTCTCTCTCTCTCTCTCTCTCTCTCTCTCTCTCATTCTAGATCAACCACAGCCAGGGGCAACCAGCAAGACATGGTCATTATGGAAAGTACCTGGCTCTAAAGATCTACCTTCCTGTACATCCCATTGGCCAAGAACCTCTGGGAAAGGAATGGCCTCTTCCCCAATAAGAAGGAGGAATAGTGCATGGACTGCCAAGAGGCTCAGAGAAACAGGCGGGCAGCAGGTGGCTGCAGGCAGCTCTCTCACATGTTCTCCACCCGACCCCTACCCCACAACCCCATCACATTCTCCACCCTACCCAGCCTGGCTGCCCTCTACACCTTCACTCAGCAACCCACCTGGAGATGGGGGTTCCAGACTCACACCCACTCTGTACAGTCCTTAATTGTAGGGTGGGAATGAAGGAACCTGCCCTCAGGGTGGGGCCAACTGATGTTAACACAGGCCAGAGTTCAATGGCTGGAGCGGGCTAACCGCCGCCATGCGCAGGTCTGCACTGTTCAAGGCGCTAGCTGAAGATGCATGTGGAAGCTGAGCCCTGGGCCAGAAACATGCCACTTCAAGAAAGGGGCCACTTTCATCTCTTCCTGTGTACTCACTGATGAGAAAGAGCTTTCTGTCCTGTGTTTACACCCATAGGCAAACACGTGGTCCAAACACTGGGCAGACACGACTAATGGTGGCTTACTAATCGTATTCACAGACCCCATGTAGGGCTACATGGAGGGGTCTGCACTCAGGAACAGAATAAACAGCCAACAGCTTTGGGAGGCAGGCTTTGGGGTACCAAAGGACTGGGCAACTCCTGGCTTCTGTGGAAGATGTGACTGGCTGGCCTACAGGTGGGCAGGGAGGCAAAGCCCACTGGGGTAGGGACACCAGGAGCTACACTAGGTCCCCTCGGTGCAGAAAGGACCTCCTCACACACCAGTACACACCAGGGCAGTCAGTAAGGAAGTAGTGAGAGGAAGTCTGTCTACTCTTCCCTGGCTCTGGATGCTGCCTGCGGCCTGAACTGGTCTCTGACATCCACATTGTCCTCCACACAACACCCACACACTTATTATCAAACACGGTTCAAGCTGGGCGCAATGGTATATGCCTGTAATCTCAGCAATTGTCAGGCTGAGGCAGGAAGATTGCTGTGAGTTAGAGGCCAGTCTGGGCTACAAGTGAGCTCCGGGGAAGCCTGGCCCAGAATGAGACCCTGTCAGAGAGAGTGGGGGGACTGGAGGAGGAGGAGGAAGAGGAGGAGGAAGATGCAATTTAAACCAAATTCCTTCTCTGCTTAAAATTCTCCATGGTTCATGCATGTATCTGGCTGGCAAGAGGGCTTAACAGGTAAAGGTTAGGCTTGCCACCAAGCCTGATGACCTGAGTTCAATCCCTGGGACCCCCATGTGGAAGGAGAGAACTCTATCAGGTTGTCCTCTGAACACCACATGCAGAAGGTAGCATGCATATGCTTACACATTTTTTAAAAAGATCATACCTCTTCCCTACCCCACCACCACCAACAGAGAGCCCTGCTTGGTTTGGCCCCTGTGAATCCTCATACTTATTTCTCACATAATAAATTTTAAAGGATTCAGATCTTCTGAGGAATGTTTTGAGGCCATCACAAAACTAAATTAGAGATCAGTAACAAGGATGAGTGCCTGCACAATCATGAGGACAAGAGTTCAGTTCCCACCACTTACATAACAAGCCAGGCCTCCCTCCGTTCCCTCCCCCCACAGGTGTGCACGTAACATGCACATACACTCATACATAGACATACATAAATAAATGAATCTTTTTTAAATTTTTATTTTATGTGTGTAAGTGTTTTGCCTGCCTGCACCACATGTATATAATGCCAGTGGAGGCCAGAAGAGGGCATCGGATCCCCTGGACCTGGAGTTACAGATGGTTGTTAGCTGCCATGTGGGTGCTGGGAACCAAACCCAGGTGCTCTGCAAGAGGAGCCAGTGCTCTTAACCACTGAGTCATCTCTCCAACCCCCTTTTTTTTTTTGTTTTCTTGAGACAAGGGCTCACTATGCAGCCTTAGCTGGCCTAGAACTCACTGTGTAGACCAGGCTGGACTGAAACTCACAGAGATCAGCCTGCCTCCACTTCCCAAGTGCTGGGATTAGAGGTGTGCCTCCACACCCAACTAAAATGTTTTTGTTTTAAGAAAAAGAAATCAGTAATAAAAAGATATCTAGAAAACTTCTTCAAACTATCCAACACAGATCTGAGTAGCCAACGTGTCAAAGAAAAAAAAATCAAACAGGAAATTAGAAAATATTTAGAACCAAGTGAAAAAAGTCAGTGGTGTAAATTCTCTCTGTGCTACTGAGGGCTCTTTTCTCTGTTTCCTCTGATCTACAGAGGTAGAGGTGAAAATTGTTATCAGACCAAAGAACCAAAGTTAAGCTTTATTGATTTTCTTATATTGGTCATTGTGGAATGAGCTGTATAAACTGGCTCATGCCCTGTAATCCTAGCAGTGGGAGGCTGGAGGCAAGAGGTTCACCGTAAGTCTCGAGCTAGCTTGGGCTATATGGAAAGGTTCAAGGTAACCCTGGGCTATATAGTGAGAATCTGTTTCAAAATACCAAAAAAGAAAAAAAAAGAGGAGGGGGAGGGTAGAGAGAGAAAGAAAAAGAGAAGAAAGGAAGGAAAGAGAGAGAAGGAATCATGAGGGAGTGCTAAAGCCATACTTACAGAAAGAGTCCTAGCACTGAAGCATCCACTCTAAAAGGGAAGAAAATCTCCAGTCTCAGGTGCTATTTTAAGAAACTAGAAAGAAAAATAAGAGCTGATTTAACCTAATGCAAACAAAACAAAGGAAATAATAGAAGAAACCCAAGAAATAGAAAAGCCATAAAGAAAATCAGTACAAATTAAAGCTGGTTCTTTGGAAGAACAATAAAATGATAAGCCTTTGGCTACGCAAAGCAAGCACAGACAGGAAGCATCACCACAAACCCTACAGACAGCAGTGTCGCCGCAGGGACAGTTATGAGCAATACATTACCAATAAGTTTGATACTCAAGGGAAACTAACAAATATCTTGAAGAATAACACTATTGAAGTCACTCAAGCTGAAATTTCTAAAGTTAGGGGTGTCATTCAGTGATGGGCTTGCCTAGTATATGCAAGGCCCAGGGTTCTATCTTTAGCACATAAAGAGACAGAGGTAGGCAGGGGAAGGACAGAGGGAGAAAGAAATGAATAGCTTCATACATTAATTATCTTTCTGTTGCTGTGATAACACCATAGCTAAGGCAACTTATAGAAGGAAGAATTTATTGGATTTGCCATTCCAGAGGGAGGGGAGTCCATCATGGCCAGGGAGGCATGGCAGGAGGCAGCCAGAACAGAAAGCTGAGACCTTACATCTTCAAAGGCACAGGACGAGAGAGACAGAGGGAGTAAACTGAAGTAGGGCAAAGCTGTGACCCCTCAAAGCCCACCCCCCCAGTAGCATGCTTCCCCCGAGAAAGCGCATCTCCTAAAGGTTCCATGACCTCCCAGATAGCATCGCCAGTTGGCCAAGTGTTCAAATACTGGAGCCTAAGGGACCATTCCTCATCCAGCCACCACACTATTTAATCTTGAGTCTATTAAGAAATTAAATTTATGGTTAAAACCCCTCTCAACACCTAAAGGTGCGGTCCCGCACACCTTTAGTCCCAGCACTTGGGAGGCAGAGGCAGGCAGATCTCTGAGTTCAAGGCCAGCTTGGCCTACAAAGCAAGTTTCAGACTACCCAGGCCTACATAGAGAAACTCTGCCTCAAAAAAAAAAAAAAAATCCTCCTCACAGAGAAAACTTCAGGTTCAGATAGCTTTACTCTTTTAAAGATTAATTCATTCCATTTTATGTGTATGAGTGTTTTGCCTGCACGTTTATAAGTGCACCTGTGTGTGCAATGCCCAAAGAGCCAGAAGAGGGTGTCAGATTCCCCTGGTGCTGAAATCACAGATGCTTATGAGCTGCCATGTGGGTGCTGGGAACCCAGGTCCTCTGCAAGAGCAGCCAGCACTCTTGACCACTGAGTCGTCTCTCTAGCTCCTTCACTGGTAAATTTTGCCAAACACTTCAGCAAGAAACAGTAGCAATTCTACACAAATTCTTCCAGAAAGGTAAATAAATAACCAATAAATAACTTCCTAAGTTATTCTATGAGGCCAGGATTATTCCCCTGTTTTCAAACCTAGCCAAGGACATTAGCAAAATCTATAAATCAACATCCCAACACAGACATCGATTCTCTTTTCCGTGGTACTGAGACAAGCACTTGATTACCAAGTTACTTCTCTAGCCTGTGACCAAAACACAAAACAACCAAGAGTTAGCAGTTGGATCTATTAATAACACATTGTAAAAATAGAACCCTGACCAAATGAACTTTATTCAGGAATGCAAAGTTGGTTTAACATTTGAAAATCAAGGTTAACAAACTAAATTATTAACAAACTAAAAAAAAAACAGTTCAAGCTTGGCATGTCATCCTAATACTTATGAGGCAGAGGCATGAGGATCACAAATTCAATTCCAGCCTAGGGTACGGTATGAGATCCCGTCTCAACACCCTCCCCCCAAAATATTTATTTTTAGTTAGTTGTTTTTTTTTGTTTTTTGGGTTTTTTTTTGGTCTTTTTGAGACAGGGTCTCCCTGTAGCCCCAGCTGTCCTGGAACTCACTATGTAGACCAGGCTGGTCTTGAACTCACAGGGATCCGCCTGTCTCTGCCTCCCAAGTGCTGGGATTAAAGGTGTGAACCACCACACCTGGCTTATTTTTAGTATTTTAAAAAATTTTATTTTTATTTAATGTGTGTTTCACCTGTATGTGTGTAATTGCACCCATAACCTGCATTTCTCATGGTCAGAAGAGAGAGTCAGATTCCCTAGAGCTGGAGTTATGGATAGTTGTTGGCCACGATGTGGGTGTTGGGAATTGAACCCGGGTCCTCTGCAAGAGCAGCCAGTGCTCTCAACCCCTGAGCCATCTCTCTAGTCATTATTTTTGTTTTTTTAAGATTTTTAATTATTTTATTTATGTGTATGAATGTTTTGCCTGCATATATGTAAATGTACCATGTGTGTGCAATGCCCCTGGAAGCCAAAAGAGGGAGCCTGATTCTGTGGAACTGGAGTTACTGACTTGTTAGTTGGCATGTGGGTAGTGGGCATCCTGATCCTCTGCAGGGCAGCAAGTGCTCTTAGACACTGAGCCATTTCTCCAGTCCTCTGAAAATATTTTTTTAAATAAATAAATAAAATATTCTGAATAAAGCCGGGCATGGTGGCACACACTTTTAATCTCAGCA